TTAGTCTTTATCATGGCCCTTGGTCCTAGTACAAGTCAGAGCTATATTTATAAAGAATTGCGACCTTTCGCTCCTTGGTTCGCGAAGGTCACGTGGTATACACCGTCCATTTTGTGTCATAATCTTCTCGATGAACACATCACTTTGTATGGACAGCATATTAGAACTAGATGTGTATAAGAGACAGATACACAGTACGTCCTTAAATACTAGCCAATAATGAAGATTAAAAAAAGAAAAAAAGAAAAACCTGGCTCGTGTGGGGGAATTAATAAATTATATTGCTTCTAATATGTCTACAACTCATAGCTGTTTTATATTGCTGTCTTTCTATATTTTTTATGTATATATATATATATATATGTATACGTTTTCGTTCCTTGGCACGTACTGGCCAAGGACATTTATTTTATCTTTTATATAAAGGCCTTCGGCCCAAATAAAATATAATTGCTATTTACAGAGGGAATGATCACTTCTACGTTTAAATGAGTGATAAAGAAATTTACATAAACAACTTATTGTATTGATGTCAGTAGTGGACATTAATTGAGTAAACTTAGCTTTGGATGGATTAACAATAAAATACTTGAATATATAATGTTTACGAATATCAGTGTAACAAGGGCAAATTAAAGTAAAATGGTACTCATCTTATACTAAATTTAATGTACAATGTTTGCATAATCTATCTTTTTTTTTTATCAATTTTTGACCATCTACCAGTTTCAATTTCTAATTCAAGGACTCCTAAACGCAACTTAATGAGAATACGTCTATATTTAAAATTTTGTATATGCATTAGGTATAGTTCGATTGTAAAATTATATTTAAATGTCACATAATACTTAAGTCTGGAAAATAAATGAATTTGTTCATGAAAATTTTGACGTTCAATATTAGTTAGACGAGTAGTTATTTCAGATATAAAAGCAACATTGTTCTCAACATATTGTTCATACCAATTTATACCAAAATCAATTGAACATAATTTCTCCTTATAGTCTGGTTGTAAAACTGCTGTAATGAACTTTAGCGAGAAAAAAGTAAAGGAAAATTAATTTTTGGTTTTTCTTAATCAGCATACCCTAAAAAAAATCCCCATGCCTGGGGCTTGGGCAATTTTTTTTACAGCACTTTGAAATTTTTACCTAAAATACCCTATTTTAAACTATTTAAGATGTGGGTAGGGGAAATAAATTTATGTTTTTGGTCACTTTTACATATACTGTGGATATGAAATGTACCAACAACTTGGCTAAATAGTTACTCACCATTCTCATTTAAAAATTTGATCAGAATGATGACGTCATCATGATAAATTCCAAGATGGCGTCCATTAAGGTGGTAAAAACTATGTTTTTAATGTAAAAATATTTTTATTGTTATCAAAGTACAATATAATCCCAATACAATATTATATATACAGGATATATATATATATATATATATATATATATAAATTATATATATATAATTAATGAACTACTACAAAGTTAACCCAACGAAAAAACGAAATAGTGAAATTTTGCTTTAACATACCAATTTTTTTAGGCACTAGGTCTTTTTCTATAACTGTGAAAACTGACAGGACCATAGTTAATACTTACCCATTATAGTCGTTCAGTGGTGGCTCCAGGGGGTCAGATAGGGTGGGTCCAAACACAGGGCCGACTAGACCCTCGGTCAGATTCCCGGAATAAACTTCCCTGGGCTTATGGGAGAGTTTCTTTTTAGCTTTGTATGGTCCAAAATTTTGCTTTTAAGCCAAAATATTAGAGATTGGCAATCAAAATAATGTTATATGGATAAGCAAATCATTATTTGTGGTGTGGCGTCCTTGGCATCGGACGATGGGAGTCTAGGCCTGTCAGACGGGAATTCCCCACCTCCCAAGCAAATTTGGAATGATGACGTCAACACACCGAATTCCAAGACTACGACAATCAAAATTAAGGGAAATGTTTACCTATTTAAATTTAATCTTTCTACACTATATTTTTCTTCATCATCATTAATATACTATTATGTTGTTACTCTATAATATTATTAATATAGTATATCATTATTCTTATGCGTTTTAAAAAATTTATAATTTATAATTTACGTTAATATTAGCGTTAGTACTGTTATTCTTAATATACTGATGTCATTATTATTATTACTATCATTATTATCTTCCTTATTGTCATCTCCATCCTCATTATATTCCCCATTATAAGGAGGATGTTGATGATGATGAGGAGAAGAAAGATGATGAGGATGATGGTGAGGAAGAAGATGATGGTGATTACTATTGATGATAATGGTTGTTGATGATAATGGTTGTTGATGATAATGATTGTGATGATGGTGATGAGAATGATAGAAAATGATTGATGAGAATGATGATGATGATGAGGACTACGATGATGAATGAGTGATGATGATAAGGAGGATAAGGATGAGGTTGATGATGATGAGAATAAGGATGATGATGGATGAGAATGATTAGTAGGATGGAGGTGATGGTGATGATGTTAACAATGATTGGTGAGGATGGTGATTAGGGTGACGATGATGGATGAGGATCAATGCCATGGCCAGGATTTTCAAACGGTGTGGGACAATATCAGAGCGGACCCACTTTACGTGTAAATTCAAACAATTTGGACCCTTTTTACGCAAAAATATGAAATATCTGGACCGATTTTCTTAAATTTTCCCCATATTTAACTAAATATAAGGTATCTGGATCCATTTTATGCATAAAATTACATAATTTTGACCCTTTTTAAAAATGTGGACCATTTTTTGTGGACCCATTGGAAAAATGGTGTGGGACTGTCCTATCTGTGCCAATAGCTGGCTATGCCATTGATGATGATGAGGATGATGGATGTGGATGAATATGATGATGAGGATGATGATGAAGAATGAGGAGGATGAAGATTATGAGGATGATGATAACGACGATAGATGATTGATAAGGACATGATGAATATGAGGACAATAACGATGGATGAGTATGATGTGATGATGATGATGGTGATGATTACACGATCGATGATAGTAAGGATGATTATAATGATTAGACAACAATGAGAATGAGAATGATGATGACGATGACGAATATGATGAGGATGATGATAATACTGTAATTATATCAATAGTGGTAATAAAAATATTATAAATAATATTATTATATAACAGTACTAACAATGTAATTCATTGTAATATTAATATATAATTTTGAAATAACAGAAATACAATATAGTAATATATACATAATATCTTTAATGATTTCAACAATAATAAATAAGCATAATACTACTATTAAAATAATAATATGTATATTATATGTTTTATATGTGATTGCTTTGATGAGATTGTATTTTGTACAATAGTAATAATAGTAATAATAATAATAATAATAATAATGATAATAATAATAATAATAATAATAATAATAATAATAATATACTAATCTTACAAAAATAAACATTTTCTCCGCCAAAATGAACACCATTTTGGAAGTTGGCATTATGATCATTTCAATTAAAATTGATAAAGACAGTAAAGAGTAACTAGTTAACTAAGTTGATTGTCAATTTTTATATTTATAGCAAAACTAGAGGTGAATAATATAATGCCATAG